CCGGAAGCCCGATGAGTTGCCAGAATTCACTGCACCGCAGTTCAAAGCAAATCACTGGGTAAGAGCATTGAAGATGAACAAAAAGTTTGCCTGATAACTGGATGTGGGGAAAAATTTTTTAGAAAGTCAGATTTGGAAAAAAAAAAACTAATAAGGCATGCTTGATTATAAAAACAGAAAAACAGGTGCATGCCTTAGTCAAAAATGATAAATAAATGAATTTGGTGCTAAACAGTTAATGAAAAGAAAAATAGTGAATACTTGCTTTACTAGACCTAATGTTGATGTTAAGGTTAGTATATTTAGTATTAATATTTACTATTCAGTAGCATTAAACTTAAAACAAAAAAACTTTATATTTTATATTGGATCTGTGGGTAATAAACATGCCAAAAGCATTTGTCTGCAGTACAAAAACAGCAGCAGAATGTTGTGTCCAAAGTTATGCGGCCTTATCATCATGATCATCATCCATCATGAGGCTAATTTTGAGAAATTGATCAGAACACACACACACACACACACCCTTATTCAGTGGTACCAGTCTGGATTCAGTACCACAAAATAGGTGCCTTGTCCATGTACTTTGCATTTAATTTGCTTAGATGTGACTGAATTATCAGCCACATGAACCAGTCCATCAGCACCACTGAAGATGAACAATCCAAAATCAGCCAGTAGCACAGCAATGTGGAAATTTTTTTAAAACATTTAAATAAGCAAGACAAATTTGTGATCAAACAAAGTAGAAGCAAGCAAACAAAAGTATGCAAACGAAACAAATCAAGCAAAACAAAGCAAACAAAAAAACAAAACAACAATGGCAAAAGCTAGTACTTACTCTGCAACACTCTGAACACGGACAGCTCCCCCCCATCGAGCACCTCCTTACCCACTGCCCTCGTCTGCTTGGCGATGGCCTGGCAGATCTCACGGCCCGCAGCGATCTGTGCCTTTTCGCCCAGCAGGCCGCCCAGCGAGGCGCGCAGCACGAAGGAGACGCAGCGGCGCGAGTACACCGCATCCACATGCGTCTGCGTGGCGCGCGGGTGGGACGCCAGCTCCAAGACGTGCGACAGGAAGGCTGCGAAGTTACGCTCCAGCCACTGGCCGCCCAGCGTGGTCACAAACACAACGTAGGCCTGGGGGGGGTCAAGGATAGGCAGGTACAAAAAAGATTTATGCACACAAAAACAATTTGTTCAGCACACTGTGTATTTATTAAGTTCATAAAAGGAAACATGGGAAATATATAACAGACTTCCCTCCCCTTGCTCAAAGTCAACACTTCTGATCGCAAATGCTGACCACATCAGCATCTGCTGCTCACAGTCTAATTAATGGTCTAATTAATGACTAATTAATGGTCATTTCATTGCAATTGCATCCTCTGAATTCAATAACTTTGTCTGAGGCAAAAACACATGAAAAAAATGACTTAAATCTAGCACCAAGCTAATAGCAAACCTCCTTGGCATATACAGAACCCACAGAATCAAGGCTTGTTTTAAGATTAATTATAACCTTGTAAGCGAAGTAACCCAGTATCTATGTTAAATTCCACAAACTGAAACACTATTTATATACGGTTACATCATTAGGATCGTCGGCGGCTCCACGAACCTGCGTGACCCCCACCCGCACCTCCCTGCTGACAGAGCCGCCGCCCTTCAGCATCTCCCCGCCGCTCTTCAGGAAGCTGGAGCCTCCCCGGAGAAACCCGGTGCTCATGAGCTCCAGCACCTCCTCCAGGGTGGCCCTCTTCACGTTCTGCCGCATGACTGCATCGGAGCAAACAGATATCAGCCACGCCTCTGCTGCCCCTTGGTTTCTGAATGGCTCGAGCTTGCGCCCCGCCTCAGGAAGTCACACCATACACTGATACTACTGGAGTGGCAACCAGTCACTCACTGCAACCAACCAATGGCAGACTGCCTCTACTCTGAAGAGTGAATGATTGGCAGAGCAGAGACTCCAACTCACTTGCGGCCTGCTTGGGCATCAGGGCGGTGGCCATCACAGTGCCGAGCAACTTCGACACAGCCACTCGAACCCCATAGTTGGAGCCCTCCAGGGCCTTGAAGCACAGCGTGGCCACGTTCTCCAGCTCTGTGGTCCACATGAACACGGCCTCATTCTGCAGCTCCAGCAGGCACTGACATGGGGGAGGAGAAAGACTTAATCAGCCAGTTATGCCAGGGTTACTGGTTTACTGTGGATGAACAATCCAATTTAAAGTAGGAGACTATGAGCGTTTGTGGCACCTAAAAAGAGGCATGGATTTTAACAGACTCACCTTGGCAGCCGCACAGCGGACAGCCATGGACCTGTCATTCAGCAAGGAGCGGGCGTTCTTATAGATGTCCCGGTGGCAAGAGGCAGCGGCCCCACCCAATCCATTCAGCACCTTCTGAAGGCTGAGCAGGATCTCCCCACGCCCCTGTGACTGACACCGCAAAGTCGAAAGGAAAGGGGGAGGAGCAAAAGAGCCGTCAATCAGCATCCATGACGGGAGCCACCGCCTCCTCCTGTCACGCATGACGGCCTCAAGCGCAACACGAACCGCGCTCGTACCTCAGCGCTCTTCAGAGCCTTCAGGAGGTTGTTGATGGTGTCGGGGAAGGAGCTGCCCAGTATCCGGCCCATCTTCTCATAGAAGGCGCCCACACAAGCCACGGCAGCACTGCGGAGATGGAGACATGGGTGAGGGCCAATTGCTGCTAGCTAACGGTGCCAAGAAACAATGTGGACTCACTGCCATGAGGATGACAGGTAAACAGTAACCTGTAAGGTCCTGTCAGCCCAGTATGGAGCAGTGTGGCTTGTATGGCTAACAACAGAGCTGCATCAAAGGCCATGCTAGCAAGAACCTTGAACTGACATGTATTAGTGCATCCAGGGTATCACTAGTAGTGCTGGGTATCGCCACCGATTTCCCAATTCAATTCAACTACGATTCACAAAGTCCCGAATCGATTTGATTTCCAATTAGATTTGATTCAATATTGATTCTATTAGGGATACTTCAGTTACAACACCAATTTTGGTCAGACAGCTAAGAGATTCTCTGAGTACTAATGCTGTAAATTGTACAAGGAACCTTCTAGCCTGGTGCATTATTAAAAAATATTACTCTCTGCATTAAGATTTGACCCCAAAGCAGCTGCATTAATTAACTCTTTATTTAACATGACTAATAAGTTTCAGACTGGACGTTTGCTCCTATAGATGATGTCTCGTTAAACGGTTCCAGATATTTGTGGTATTTCCGCAGTATTTCACCTCCATTTTACCATATCTTACGTACAACTTTGCATTTGCCCAGCTTGTCACTGTCATCACGCTTCTGAAATCCTACATACATCCAGACATCTGCCTTTAGGCCCGACGGTACAGTCTGTGGAGCAGATTCCACCGTGTTTATCTGTTTTTCTCCACCAGATCTCATTGCACAAGGCTGGCCACGCAACAATAATGAAATTAAAGCTTAACCCATCCACAGGATAAGGCCATAGACTGTACAAGGCATATATTAAAAATCGATCTTGGGATTTTATGAATCGATATGGTGAAATGAAGACAGATTTCAACGAGAAAATCGATTTTTTAAACCCAGCCCTAATGATTAGGCTGAATGTGGTTGTTACTATAACCAAGCAACACTGCACTAGACCGCCTACCACCCCAACCCCCCCTGCATGACCCGGCCCACTCACAGTTTGGTGGGAAGGTAGGCGGGTGTGTCATCCTTGCTCTTGATGATGTCATTGCATTTGTCGAGGGTCTGAAAGACGGTGAAAGTATCGCCGATGCTATACAGGGTGGCCAGATTCTTGGCCAGCAGTTTGCGGGTTGGGGGACCAGGGGCGCTACTGATTAGACCCGTCAGCTGCTCCACAAGCTTCTTCTGCTTCTCCTTCACATCCACCTGCATGTGGGTATACATTCATGTACGTATACACAGACACATGTGCGCACACGCACAAAAAACAGAGGTTACGTGCATGCACAGCCCTGGGAGACAGGAACCCGGGGCTTCAGAAAATCACCTCTCCAGGCCTCTTAGTGTATGGCAAGCGTACCTTGTTTGCGGCCACAAGTACTTTGTCCAGGAAACGGAGCCATTCGAAGATGAACACAGGCTTCTTGGCCTCGGTGATCTGTGCCAAGGCATCTTCATTGAGCAGCAGACTGTGAGCCAGCTCCATTATGGGCTTTCTTGCTTAGAAACCCAATGAGATGGCCACAACTGTAACAAGCAGACAGGACACCCAATGAGATGTCAAGGATAAAAAACAACTCCCAATAAGAACACTTTGGGCTATAATGTACAAACAGAAGCTACTTTGGACACTATCATGAAAGTTCCTTCCTATACACAAACAGCACCAAATAACCTATGGTAGTGCCTCTCCTCAAATTTCAATAGTGCTTCTTGTCCCACTGGCTACTGTGACACTTCAAATTACTGTAAAAACTGTAAAACTGTAAAATCAAAGACCTATTTCATGATATAAAATTATGTTTATTTTACAAATCAAATTCATTAATCATTAAATTGTAGGAATAGTCTGAATAGAACTAAATGGTTTTTATATCGAATATGAAATACAATTTCACAGCAACTTTTTATAGAAACCTATAAATTACCCCCAATAACATATGAAAATCCTAATCAATAAATAAGAACACAAAAACCAACAGTTATGGTAATGGGTGGGTGAAATCAGAATAAATGTATGAAATTCAATACCAACATCATAAAATCAGACTTAAATTCAAGACAAATTCGGAAAATGTTCATACTCAATAATACATATTACCGCAGGCAGGCTGTAATCATTGTTAACAGACAGGTCGAAGTGAGAAGCGAGCGCCTTAGAAGTTTATTACATTTGAAACGATATATTATAGCGTTCCTGGATATATTAAGTTATTAAAATAATTCACCGTAAAATTACACAATATTGCCATCTTTCTCGGACAATTCTATATGTTTTTATTTCACCCAGGTAGTGCACTATGTGAGCCTCGGGCAGATTTCACACAAAGGCACCAGTAATACTGGTGTTATGCCGAAAAAGGCATCCCTGCCTTAGAATGCATGCCGGTGTTCCGACGAGTTGAGCTTTTAAGGGTTTTTGGGGGGTCAGGGGTTTTTTAGGGGTAAGGGTTAGGGTTTTTGGGGTGTTTTGAGGGTTAGGGTTAGGGTTTTAGGGGGGTTTTGGGGGTTAGGGTTTTAGAGGTTTTTGGGGAGTTAGGGTTAGAGTTTTACGGGTTTTTGGGGGCTATTGATTAGCACTACGGTAGCCTTACTCGACAAAGTAGCTCAACTCGTTTCAGATCAGCGACCAATCGGTCATTTAGAGACAGGCATGCATTCTACGGCAGGGATGCCTTTTTCGGCATAACACCTGTTTGTCAGACAGAAACACGTCCCAGTACGTTAATTTTACGTATCTAATAAATTGTCTGAATCACCTCAGTGTGGCATAAAATCGTAACACCAGCCGGAAAATACTTAGATGAAACAGGGGCAGACCAATCTGACCGGCCGGCTAAGCTAGTCACGACCAGCCAGCCACCCCCAGCTCCTGAAACCAAACCCGAATAAGAGGAACAGCCCGAAAATGACCCAACTGAAACGAGACAATTCAACTTCCAGACATACAAGTGAATGTTAAGCTTCTAGGCAAACTACTAACTATGATTCATTGTAGCTAGAGGACACGAATCGGTCTAACATGTTTCTATGTCGTTGCTTCTATTTAAATGACGTTCGGGTTCTTTAGGGATTTTAAAAAATCATTTCATCTCCATGACAGCATTTCGTGACAGTTCAATAAGAATCGTACTAATAAAATATCAAAGGTACATTTCCCCCTACCTGTTTTTCGCCAATAATAATGATACGTTCACGGTAGCTAGCTCGGGACAAGAAAATTATTCCGACTGGAAACATCGACTGTGATACTACAAAATGTAGCTTTAGAGTATTTTTAAAGGAGGTCGTAATATTAATAATGTCACATGTAACAAAAATACTAATTTATGTTTAGTGTAAGTAAAATAATACATTGTCTTTCTGCACGTAATATTCCAAAATGTTTTATTTCTCCGGAACGTATTGTTCTTTGCTCTATTAGTAACCCGGAATTAAAAGGCGTACGGAATACGGCAAGTTGATTGTGCAGTCGCGCAAAGAAGGATATTACTTTTACGCATTTTATAGTATTTTGACTCCCTCCAAAATATGGCAGATGATGATGATTACATGTCGGATGCATTTCTTAATACGATGTAAGGATTCGGAATTATGTGTAGATGACGTTGATTATAAGTGACATCTTAAATAAATAAACATTGGTTATGACATTGGTATTCGGATGGTCGCAGTTGTTATGTATTGGTGAGAGTTTCTGAAATATTACTTAGAGTTTTAAGGACAGTGGGTGATATAATTAATTAAAAGACCAAATTTTCTTCTTTTGGTTAGGCTGTATTTTGCTGTTTTTGACAGAGATAACTATGTTCGTCCATCTACTTCATCCCTTCCTTTAGTCAAGACGTGAAGCCGGGCATGCCCATATTGAAACGTGTAAAGGAAGCTATGAAAAAAGAAGAGCTACACAAGGAGAAGAATCTGAAGAACCGCCAGAAGACGTACAAGGAGCAGGAGCAAGAGAGTCGGGAAGCCAAGCTGCAGAGCTCCATTAGCAATGAGAACAAAGGCTTTGCGCTTCTACAGAAAATGGGATACAAAGCAGGGCAAGGCCTGGGGAAGGAAGGTTAGCCACCATCTCTTTAAGTGTATTCAAGGAAACTAGCCATGTTAGCCAGATCAGGGACACTACTAGTGTGTTCTCAAGCAAAATCAATTACTCTTTTAACCTCTTATTTTGGTCAGGATTGTGGGACTTAATAGTAAATAGAAAAAGTGTGTGGTTACGTAATTACATGTACATAGGTATCAGTGTGATTAACCTTTTTTTAATTAAAATAACTTTGACATTTTTTACAGGGGCTGGAAGAGTTGAACCTATTCCACTGAACATCAAAACAGGTGTGCTTTCTACCTCCTCATTAGCACATGAATTTAATGTTTGCAGCCAGTGTCACATTTAGAGTGTATATTGTTAAAGCTCTGTAACTTTGTACTGTGACTGGCTAGCTGCTAAGCTTGGACATCCAAATGCAAAGCAGGTACTTGAGGTGACGCATTACTATAAATGTATCAGACAGGGGGGGGATTGGAATGGAGGCTGTCCAGAAGAGGAAGGCAGAAGAGAAGCTGGAGCAAAACCGGCAGAAAGTGCGAATTAAGCAACAGGTAGAGAAACAGTCCCTGGAAGACTTCAGGTGAGTGGCCACATAGTCTCAACAGAGCCAGGGCAGGGCTTGGTCTCGCCCATCAGTTTGTCGGGTCAGTTCCGACTTGTGGCACTGAGAACATTCCTGCTTAGATGTCGGGGACTTACTCTGTTTGTGTGCCCACTATGCACCTCAGACTCAGGATGAGGTCAGAGAGGGAGCAGCGGCAGACAGAGGGGGACCTGCGGAAGAGCCAGCGTGTCTGTGAGCAGCTGGACAACCAGAAGGTCAGCACAGATGTCCCACAAACCCAGGGGTCCATTGTCAAATCTCAGTCCACTGACTTAGTAGCACATGCCGGTATATTTAATTATCATGCTTCAATATGCTAATACAATTGAGCAACAGTTTAACCTGTCTAGCCATAAATGGAATCTATGATTGCTATGTAACTTTGTTTTTGTGTGTCAGGACATTACGGTTCCCCGGGAGAGCTGGTACTGGCCTGACACTACAAACAAGGAAGAAGAAGATGAAGAAGATGAAGAAGAGGAACAGGAAGTGGAAGATGAAGATGAAGGCCAGCAACTGACTGTTAGTTCATAATCTTCTTTGCCAGTATTTGTTGAAAGGGCACCATATGGGTTTGAGTGAACTGGGGATTTTCACACATCTCTGCAGATGCTGAATGCATGTAGGATGGACCACAGGATTCTCCAGGGGGGCTTGGGGCCTTGGGTGTAAAAGTTCAAAAACTCCATTTACTTTTCCCCCTTGATTCTTCATAATAATCATAATAATAATAATAATACTCTCTGATTGGTTGGCATTTGCCCAGCTGTAGGGTGGACCAGCCCTCCCTCAGAACCAGGTTTGTTCTGCAGTACACATTTTCATGATGGATCACTCCCTGTTAATGTTTTTGTGAAGCCATATTAATACCGTACAATATTTATGGCATCAAAAAATGTACGATGAATTACACATTTGAATTCCTCTTGTTAAATGGTAACCATAGGTGATTTAACCAGGGGTGCAAGGGGTGCAATTGATCTGACCCCCTAGTGATCAGATGAAAATGTTATTTGAACAGTTCAATATCATTGTGTAATTATTTATTGTAAATGTATTCATTTTTACAAAAAAACAAATGTACATGTGTAGCTCAGTTTGGCATAGCCTGTAATGAATGACTGGTTGGCCTGTCTCACCTTCCACCCCCTGGGAGAAAAGCCTAGAGTCGCCTATGATGGTAACATATCACCATTCTCTGTCTAGTCGCTGGACAAGCTGCAGATCCTTACGTCGTATTTGAGGGGTGTGCACTTGTATTGCATATGGTGCGGCACTGCATACAGTGGTAAGTGTTTAAAGCCAACTGTTCCTGGTCATCAGCTTGCTGCATGCCTTGTAACCTGATGTGCAGGTAAACTTTCCTTTTAAACCTGCAGATGAAGATGATTTAAACGCAAACTGTCCCGGTGACACAGCTTCCGACCACGACTGAGTGGAGGAGAGAGAACAGATTTCACTCACCTTACAAAATGCAATCCTCTTTGTGAAGATTGTGGACATTAACAATTTCAAACAAGGAAAAATATCTAGCATGTTTAACATGATGCTTGGAATTGTTTGCTGTACCAAGCAACCATGAAAGCAAATTTCTAATTTCATTATTATTATTTTTTGCTGTTAAATATAACAAGTGTGCTTATGGCAACTGTTGTAATGAATTATGTGTGGTTTAGAAATATGTATTTACTTTTTATTTTTGTATTTTCTAGATGAAAGGACATGCCTTGTGAATGCTGTCCCTTTACTGATATTAAAATAATATAGTTTTACCCCAGAGATTCAGAAAGGAAAATTTTGGACTATACTAGGAACCTACGACCAAAAGTTTGGTCACTCACCGTGTCCCCCAGAATTCGCCAAAGTGTTTCACGTTCTTCTTTACCCTTATTGACGTCCTGTCATTTTGACCATCAGTCCGTCTGCGATTGACACAACCGACAATGAATTGAGATTAAGGAGTATGACAATGTCAGTGGCATACACTTCTTATAATGGTTCCCAGTGAAACATTTTTTTTTTGAGGGACCCCCCTCCTCATTTCTGGACACATGTCCATGCACTCAATGTACAAGACCCCCCCCCCCGACTCACAATAATAATTTAAAAAATGAATTGTCATTTTCAGTATGTAAATGTATGCATTTCACTGCTTGAAATTCTCCACTGATATGTAATTGTCCTACATGTGTTATTCAGTAATAGGCATGCCAAATGTCTTAATTTCCACAGCAGGAAGATTTACGCCCAAGATACAGACCGTGCAGGTAATACTGCCGGTGTTATGTCGAATTGAAGTACTTTGTTGAGTTAGGCTATCGTAGTGCTAATCGATAGCCCTAACCCTAACCCCCATAAAACCCTTATCCTAACCCCTAAAACCTAACTCCCAAACGGTGGAACTGCACATGCGCAAAAAGGCTCAATAGTACGTCTCGATAGGTAGCTCAACTCGTCATAACACCGGTGGCTCGTGCTAGAATCTTCCACGCAGTGATACGATCAGACAAATATCAGCATGTATCAGGAGACAAAAAGTGAATCTCGGGGTCAGCCGGCTTATAACAAAGGTTATATTTGAGTTTTTCAAAAGTAGACAGACAGGTGGACAATATATGTCAGCGCATCCAATGTCACGTTCAGAAAGGCTGAACAAGCAATTCATCAGGACTGCATATACCCAGCCTGTGTCAGCCCATGGAACATTATACCTCTTCATTTTTAAATAACATAATAGTTATCCTACTCCTTTCAAAAATTCAAAAACGCTGAATTGTTCAGTATACACTATTTCAATTTCTCTCCGATATACTTCCTGTACACGTCAGAGGGGCTGTGACGTTTGCCACAGTAAAAAGCACTTTCCTAGATAACGAAACCGAAACTTGCTGAGCAACTGAGCACGAAACGCAGCGGCTGTATCTTGGTACGTAAAAATATGTGATCATATGCACTTATAATTCTTCTGGTGCGCGTGGTTTACATGCTTGATAAAGTTGTTGCTTAATTGCACGAAAAGCATAAAATGTCATATCGGTAAACATTCAGAAATCGGAGCACTGCACTTAAACTGGGAGGTGTTCCACGAAGCAGAATTTCTCAGTTAGCTGGGTTAACTTAAGCTTGAAGTCATGATTGTCTAACAGGAATACTCCTTACATAAAGTCTTATTACTCTTAACAGCTTAAGTAGTTCAGCTTCAAAATGAACGCATTAAATCGTTTTCGATGCTGTTCATAATAAACTTAAGAGAGCAATAAAACGTATGTTTGCACCGTGTTTTCCATTATGTAACATTTTGGTTTTGCTGTTTTTTGAACTATTTATTTCAATTAGGAAGTTTACAAAAATACCTTTTTAACAGGTTGCTTAGAATATGGATGGATACGTCGGGCAACTTAACCTATTAGCTCAGAAAAATAATTTCGAGGTGTCCTACGAGGAAATCAATGCGCCTCAAACCAGTGGAATGTAAGTCGAAACATTATTATTATAAGCATATACTTTGCCCTTTTCAGAATGTTAAATACAAAGATGTCAGTGTAAATAGCGGAGAGTTTTGTTAGCGGTGTTGCTGTTGTTTTTATTATTATTTATTATTATTATTATCATCCAGGTTCGCTATAACAGCTGTGGTGAACAGTGAAAGGTATCCTGAGGGACTGGGCCACACTGAGGAGGAGGCAAAGCAGAATGCTGCAAAAAATGCGTTAGAGAAACTATCTGGGGAAAGCATCCAGCCCAATGATTCTGTAAGCATGATCATTAGATACTGTGCTTCTGTTGTGCTTAGCATGATTTAGACGTGAGTTGCTGATTAGCTCCCTGTCAGACTGGGCAGGATACTGTTGCTGTTCCATTCTGCTTCAGGAAACCAACACTGCATCTGTGGACCAGTTATGAAGAAGTGCAGTGATTGGGTATATGGGTAATGTGTCTGCTGACAGTGTACTGTGCTGCCCTGCAGATGAGCAGCCGAACTGAGAACCCCCCACCTGTTAGCAATGGATCCTTCAAGTGGGCAAACTACACATGTTGGCTGAATGAATATGGTCAGAAGCAAAAGGTCAAAGTAGACCCAAAAGAATCTACTAGAATTGCTCCAGTCAACGCCACACAGTAACTATTCAGTCATTATCCATTTTTTTTTCCTGATAATCATTGTCATCTGCTGCCATGGAAACTCCATGTGTTTTTCACATCTGCTCACTCCCTCTGTAGGTGTTGCAGGTTTGTTGTTGATAACAAAGAGTTCCCCGAAGCCTACGGAAAAACTAAGAGGGAAGCCAAAGAGGAGGCGGCCAGGCTGGTATATGAAGCGTTGAACCGAGAAACGACCACGGATCAGGTAGAATATGGCCAAAATCCACATTGATACCATAGGTTTCCTGTTGCTCTATACCAGTTTCTGGTGTAAAATACAACATCATGCAGCCATTTGGGCATATGTGATATTTTTTTCCTCCTTTTTTCAGTAGTACATTGAGTGTGGGTTTGGTGAAAAACTGTAGCGGATTGCGGGCTGTCAGTGTCAATCCTCCTCATATTCTTCTCATTTAAAGGAAGGAGACGAGCCTAGCGTGAGACAAATCTGCAACGAAACGGACGAGTTGAGTTTGAGCACCACCGAGCCAACCATGGAGGCAAACTACATCGGATTCTTAAACGAATACTGCCAAAAAAACAAAAAAACCGTCCCTGATTACATACAAGTGGCCAAGAGAGGACCACCACACAGTCCTCAGTATGTATCAAGCGGTGAAGAGTACGGTAGAGGGAAAACAAACTGCAGCAAAATGGCCGAGCAGTTCACACTGTATTTATGAGACTGTTCAATATTATTGAGGAAAATAACACTGTTTATATTACAGATTTTTTTATAAGGCTGTCATCGACAATATGGAATACCCTGAAGGGAAGGGGAACAGCGTTAAGGAGGCAAAGCGGAACGCAGCAAAGCAGGCTTGGGATTCCCTTCAGGTAAAGCTGTCTCCACACTGCATAACTCTCTCTCTCTCTTCTCTATCTCTCTCTCTCTCTCTCTCTCTCTCTATATATATATATATATATATATATATATATATATATATATATAAAATATGTGTGTGTCTGTGTATATATACATACGAAAGCACACATACACTAAGAACAGTTTCTAAACAAACTGAACCTTTACAACCTTCTTAACACCTTTTTAAACTCCTGCCTCAGGTTTCACCTCACCTCAAGTCTTGCGCTCTCGTTGACTAGAGTCACTGACAAAGTCTAGACGTTCAGCATGCCAGATATCTGGCAGGTGTCTGCGATGCATCAGCGCCTGCGTCAGGTCGTGTCTTTGAACAATTCACACAGCGATTGAGAGCCGATTTGCCAGTGCCAATCAAACACCCTACAGTTACAGTGCTGCTACAGTTGCAGTGTAGGGCACAGATGCTTGGGAGAACAATACAACTAAGAACATTGTAAATAAGGGAAAACAATAGTGTAGTAAAAGAAGAGACAATGCAATACAAAATACAGTATAATATAGAAATTTTAGTTGCCCCAAGGTGCTTAAGAAGCGTGGAAGGCAGCCCTTATTGAAAGAGAGAGAGAAACAAAGAAAGAAAGGACGCTTTCTTCACTTCCATCTACCATGCCAGCTGCCACCACAGAAATCTGGTGGTGACCACACCTCAAAGTAGGGCTCACTGGAGTCGTAAGTCAACAGGTGACCAAGAGGTCAGTGCCGTTGATACGGATATCCGTTACATTCTGGTTATGTTCAGGCACACATACTTCAAACTGAGAAGTGTATAATTATATATACTGTACTAATTTTTAACATGTAGCTATGGTTTCACTCCGTCACAGTTAAGGAGAAACCCGTTGAGACTTGAAGACTCAGATTCCAGCATGTTTGGTTCCCCTGTGTTACGGTGAGGATGTCGATGATCCGACCTGTTACTGATGCCCGTCTTTTGGAGATGAGTGATCTGAAGCAGATTCTGATTCTGTTGTTGATTTCTGTGGCGAACAGAACAAATGAGTTTAAAATTTCCATGCATAGTACTTTAAGTTCTTGCTAAGAGAAATGTTTTTTGAAAGTACTTCTATTCACAGAATTCTGTGTTTCTGAATGTTGCTTCAAGGAATTCAAGTGACAGCAGTTTATTAACTATAAATTCACCTGCAGTGTTCCCCAAGATCCCACAAGCTCAGGTGGCATTGCGTTTGAGGATTCCTCTGGTGTCCAAAGCCCAAAAATGGTGAGTTAAACGGTTTGGCGAAATTTCTGTCAGGTCCTGCCGGCAGGACCGCCGGTCCCAGAGGGTTAAGGGAGTCAAAACTGAGGCCACCGCTTAAAATAAAACATGGTGTGTGTATACATTTTTGGACTAATATTGAGATGGTTGTGAATTTGTATATGCATTTGTGAAGCTTTATTTAAGTAAATGTGACAAAAGTCAGAAGTAACAGAGATGGGTGTGTGTGTTAAACCATTTTCCCCTTTTTTACATGCAGGAAACCCCTGTATCTAACAAGCCTAAAATAAGGTAAATAATTTTATTTCATCCCTTCGTTTCCAAGCAACAGAATGTACACTTCTAAAAGATTTGCTGTTCATATAAAATCATATAAAACAATTCTGTCCTTTACTGAATGTAAATTAAAGTCAGAGACTTAATAGATACTTTCCCTTTTTTTTTTAGATTGGCTGTAAATTTTTCCCAAGTACCATCTGACAATAAGCAGGTATTCCTCATTTACAATACAGCGCCTTTTCACATTTATTTTGGAGACTTACACACAATTGAGGAGAATTGGTCACTTAATATAATGGTAATCGTTAATGACAAAGTCATGAGGACAGAATCGTCCTATCAGGGGCTACAACAACAAGACTGCCCCTCATTTAGAACGTAAAGGCAATTTCTTAAATCATATCTCACCTGTGAAGCCAGTGACTTTGGAATGTTATCTTACGTAGAGTGCATTTTAATTATACATTATGTATATATCCTAATTCTTAAAGGAAACCAGTTTGGGAGCACCAGTACAGAAGCCCCCCGCCCAGCCATCAAGGTCTGTGGGGTCCGGAACATTCAGTGTCCAATCTGAAGGCAAATTCCCAATTGAGGAGTTCTACACAAAAGACAGCACTATGTTCATATTATTAAAATAAACCTGTTGCTGTAAAGCACCTGTATACGATTTCCTTTTAATCCCCTGGTTTTTTTTTTTGCTTAAGGTTTTTGCAAGATTATGATACGATCACACATATTGGAAAAGGTGGTTTTGGCCGTGTTTTTAAGGCCAAGCGGAAACTTGAAGACCAGTATTTTGCTGTGAAGATAGTTGAGAGCGGGAAGTAAGAAAGTTTTTCTTTATTTATGCCCTCATCTGCAAAGAAGACAATTATAATAGATTAATTTTAATAAGAAGATTTAAGGGTTTAGTCATCAGTTTCAGTTTGACAAAAATAAAAATTCATCTGTTCATGGTTATTAGGTGACGTGTGTATTAATTTATTTTTGTGTTCTCTTCTGGTTTTTGAATTCTTAGAAAATCTCGCCGTGAAGTTACTGCCTTGATAAGATTGCGCCATTCTAACATAGTTCAGTACTACTCGTCTTGGGAAGAGGACACCAGGTACCAATGTGAATCTTCGGAGAGCACCTCAAAGTAATGACATCGTTTTCTTCAAACTAACACTACCAGCTGTATTTAAACCATCAGTGCGTCTCAGTGAACCAGTTTGGTGCTACATCAATTTTCACGATATTTGAAGGTCTTTAGATCAAATTGAATGATATTTACAGTCCTTGTTGTTGGGCTTGTTCTTACCTGCTTGCTTAATTTATTCAGTCACGTGTTTGAAAATGTTAAGTAATTAATGTGAAGTAATATGCAGATTTACAGTATAAATAGCCCTCCAGCTATTAAGTTTCTGGCTGCAATTACTCAAGAAACTGGAGTTTGCATGAATTTCGATTATATACACTGAAGAACCAAAACATTATGACCACCCCAGATCAATAATGGGGATTATCTCAAAACAACAGCGCTAATTAAGATCTGGGATATATTCAATGGCAAGTGAACAGCCAGTTTTCATAGGCAGTGAGATGGATGCAGGAGAAATGGGCAAGCGTAAGGATTTGAGTGACTTTGACAAGGGAAAAATTGTTAGGCTGTGGCCAAACGGTGTCCCTGAATGGGACAGGCAGTTACAGAAAATGGATAGATGGATGGATATGCTTAGAGAAATCGCTAGTGATATATTGTAATTATTTTTGTGTAATTTCATTTTAAAAGGATTCACCCAGTATTTCCGTGATTCTTCTTTTTATAGTTCTGGCAGCAACACTGAAAAGTACCTCTACATCCAGATGGAGCTCTGTAAATGTGACCTAAAAACATGGATTGATGAAAATAATGAAAATCAGAATCCTTCCAGGAGAGCGAAAGCCCTCGACATAGTCCAGCAGGTGGTTAATGGAGTGGAGTACATTCACAAAGAGGGATTCATCCACAGAGACCTGAAGGTACACGAGTCAAAGTCATTTCGGAAGTCAAAGGAAGCTGTTGTCTGTGAGATGCAGCTGATAATGATTGGAGAACTTTCTCCAGAGATTATTTAAGACCCTAACATGGCTTCCCTCCCCACCCAGCTGATTTTAATAAACCCATCACCACCCCCTTCCCCAAATAGTCCCCATTCCTCTCTCCCATCTCTGATCCCCGACCATGTGGTTCCGTTTGTCATCCCATGGCTCTTCAGCCCCTTCACTTCAGAATATAAACAGAATATGTTGCTGTTGTAAACCTGGTTTTAGAGTATGTTATTTTTGAACAGGAACATCACATGGGCTGTTCCTCAGTCCCCCCTCCCCAAATAAAAATAGTGTGTTCTCATTCATTTCCATTATAATCAAACTACCCTAGTAAAGGCTTTGAATCTTTTTCATAAATCTCTAGTGATACTGCAGTAATACTGCAATTAGGGAATAATAATAGCAGTAATACTACAATTTGGGAATAGTAATAGCAGTAATACTACAATCTGGGAATAGTGATAGTAGTAATACTACTATCTGGGAATAGTAAAGGGGTAACAGGAGTCAATGTCTGGAATTAATCAGCAGAATAGTCTTGAGTCTCTGACTCTACCTACAGAGATGCCCCCCATCTCACTCTTGGACATTATCTTATTAAAAGTGAGCTTTTGTTAAACATCATTCACAAAGACCAATAAAGCACCTTCTGTTACCTTCTGTGTGTAACAGCAGTTTACTCAACCTGGTTGCTGACCTTTTTTTATAGCCTGCAAATATATTTGATCTTGATGGAAAGGTAAAGATTGGAGACTTCGGTCTTGTGACATTTGGTGGAAATGCCAGTGATGGGGCTCAGCTGGAAAGGACAGAAAAAAAAGGGACAAGATCTTACATGAGCCCTGAACAGGTAACCTGGTTTATAATCATTAGACTGTTTTGCAATATATTGCAATTATTCCATTAATCATGCTGTTCTATGCAGGTGAAAATATACTGTTTATTGTGAAACAAGTGGATTTAGGACCTTAATATAGCTGTAGGTGTATCATGTAGTTTTTCATGTAGTTTTAAGTAAAATGTAAACATTTGTGTTCCAGAGCAGATTTCTAACCGTGAAAAATGTTTTGACAGATGGAAAGTAATGATTATGACAGGAAAGTTGACATATTTGCCTTGGGACTGATCTACTTTGAACTTGTTTGGCCCATGAAAACACGAATGGAAAAGCATGATGTAAGTAAACTTAGATACATGCTGATTAATTTCCAATCAAAAAGGAAGCCACCAAAGAAAATGTTTAATCAAAATGTATAAATTGCAATTCAGGAATTTTAGTTATCTTTTGTGAACGAGTCAAGTCAGCCACCATGGAAGGCTTAGGGCATTGACCTATAATTTTCTAGAGAAAAACCGAGAAAAAAAATGCTTCATGAGATTGCAGCTGATCCATAATTATTTTTTGATGCTTTTTGTGATTCACAGTTGTGGCCGGGGATTCGAAATGGAAAAGATTTCCCAAAGGAATTTTCCCGTGAATACAGTGCAGAGGTAAATGATATCTCGGACAGTTTGGACCCTGAGGTAGCAAAAAATTTGCAAAAACACATACAGCTTGTGTCACTGGGGGTATTCTTTAACACAGACGCATCCTTTGGTTATGTTTTAGAATAAACTGATCAAAAAGATGTTGGATCAAAAGCCATCGGAGAGACCAGAGGCTTCGAAGATTGCAAGCGGGCTGAAAAAACTCAGCAGCATCCTCCAGGGAAAAAACAAAGAAGATCGAGAGAATAGAACTTTCTAAGAGAAAGGGATTTATTGCACCTGTTTTCCATTCTGTTTTTATCTAAATCGCAGTCATTCCAGAATAACATTCAAGTGAATAAATATGGGTGGGTTACAGGGACATTCAAGTATCAAACAATAATAGCTAATTGACAAAAGTTCTGGATTACAGATAAATAACAAAATTATGAGGATAGAATCATGCTATTAGTCTACAACACCAAGCTTGCCCTGTTTTACGATGCACCACCTAGTGGTATTAGCATACAAATGCAAACCTCTTAAATGTTTTAATTCTTTAATAAGTTGGCTAAGAGTACTTTATAAGAAAAGAACCTAAAAAATGAAAATACAGATTTAGGTTTGCCAGATCTATGTATCATTTATTGTAATGTTAAGTGTCAAAGTAATTGCAACGTGGGTTACAGAATTATGGTTCTTTATTTCATACATAGACATTTAATGTCCTGATATTAGAGATGCATGTTGACCAAGGCACATAAGTGAATTATGTAGTTTTTTAAAATGGTTTTTAAAATGTAATTGTTAGTACAAGCATTTTGACCTAAATGTAAATTAATGTATAAAGTGTGTATTGCTAAGGGCAGCTGGCCAGCTAAATGTAAACCAGTAGAGATCATAGGGTTTTTAAATATACTTTCATTCCTTCTCTTCTGCTTCCCCAATTTTAATACTGTAAAACCGTTATTTTTTTCTGTGTTATTTTTGCTGTTAAAATGATGGTTTAGCACTTAAGGCAAACTATGCTGGGATGGATATGGTATTGACACTTCAGAGATGAATGAACCAATGAAAAGTTTGTCATTGCGTTATTTTTTCAAGGGTCAGACTATATTTCATGGTTGTCTTATGTAATAATTTTTGGTAAAAACCATTCACATTGTCTTCTCTTGTAGATATTTGAACATCTACCGTAAGCTAAACATCCAACTTTCAACTGCTTCAGTCTTGCAGAGAGCCATGGGTATCTAAAGGGTGTTTCTCAACACCAAAATCACAAAGATCGTACTTGTGGCCTTGGCAAGACCGGTCTTGTTATCTTTCCTCCCAAGAAAGAACTTTGGCTGCAATGAGTCATGGGATTGGTCTTGTTTGGCGAGGATACAGCTGATAAATAAGTTGAATAAAATAAATTGAAATTGATACAAGAGATAGATACATGCCGTTTTCGTTAAAATGACAGGTCGGGTCAAAGGTCACGAAGATCAAATGTTTAAGGGTCACAGAGGTCACTAGGGGGCGGGGCTAGGAGTAATGGCCAGTGTTGTTGATTATTTCCAGATGTTGCAAGGGGTGTGAAATTTGTTGCGGGTGGTTTTTAATCATTTATTTATTTTGACTAGTGCGGAGACTGAAATGAAGCAGAAAATGGCTTGACGTGTGGGTGCTTATGAATACGAGTGGGATTTGTCCGATGGTGTTGGAGCCCGTGCTATGAGAGTGATGGCTGGCGGTTCTGAGCGGGCTGGTTACCTGATCGAGTGTGACCGTACGCTGCGGCTGCAGCTGGTGCGGTACTGTCGGAAGGTGAATGATATCCCCGTTGGTCCAGAGCCTGGAAATGTTGTGGATAAGGAATACTACTGCCCTCTGAGGCTGGCTGTGTCTGCAAAGGACTTGGACATTCTGAGAACAATGTTAGAGTTTATCCCGGTGTTGTACGAGTCTGAAAGAAACTGAGAGAGTAGGAGCGTACAATGAGAGGAGTGTCTGACGCTATTCTCCAATAAACGCTTTGCACCCCCCTGCAGCAGTTTGGCCGTGTATCTGTGTCTGTGAAAGTGGCAGGGAGGGCAGGGAGGGGGGAACAGCGTCGTGTCTGACCCCTGCAGCAGTCCAGGGAGTTAGGGTGACCCCCCTTTTTCTTTAATGTTATCTGAAGAAGCTTTTTTTGTTAAAGGTAGTTTTCACATACAGCTACATTATTACATCCCCGCAGGTCATCCTGTATTATTTCACATACATTTACATCCCCGCAGGTCATCCTGGTCAAACGGTAACGGTCTCTGTCCATGCGCAATTACATGTAGAAAATAAACGTCAGCCACACATCAAATTGACATTTTGTCTTTCAGTATATAAAAAGGTTTTTTGAAGTTGGGGGGTGTAAAGTTGGGGACAAGTAGTTTTCCCCATATAGCTGTTATTTACACCCCACCGTAGACCATCCCGGGTCGAGCGTAACGTCAGTGTCTGCGCATAACTACAAACAGGAGATAAAAGAAAAACACGGCGACGTACATCCGATAGGCATTCGATATAATTAAGAAATAAGATAATCCTTGGTAACCTAAAACTTGACACGCTGTATTTCTCATTAAAGAATCCTAAGAAAAGTTAAAAGTTTGTCTTTGCCTACCCCCCAAAAAGATGCATGTCGGGAGTGCCACGCCCCCAGCAGGCCGATGAGAATATAGCAAGCTTCACGCAGTAGGCCTAACAGTAAGAGGTAATACAGAGATTATAGATACAGACATGTCTGGCACGACCGAAAGGAAAGATTCGGCCTCACGGCCTAAGATTCAGGAGGAGGAGGATGGTGTACGATCGACGGGGGCTCCCAAGAAGATTCGTACGACACGTAGACGGGTACCTATGATGCCACCGTCGGAAGACCTGAGGGCTACCTGGGAGATGCCCAACGGGGATAAAGTGATCTTCCTCTTTGACTATGATGAGGAGGAACTGCACATCTTTCAGGTCACTGGAGACGGCGCAGAGTGTATCGGTAGTGGAATGGGAAAACTTGAAGTCTATCATCACCCCGATGATGAAACAGAGCACCGAACCCGACTATCAGTCGAACATCTCTAGTGTGGACATGCAGTATAAAAATGCCAACGATGGTAAAGAACGGACCACCTTTATGAAGTGGGACGTGACCGGGGAGCTGTGGGAGAGAATGGTGAGTGTATGTCAGCGGCCTAAATGCTGCTGTTCTGGAGTGAGAATACCGTACGTGATTTGGATGCGGATGTTTGAAGAAAAGAGCGGTTACTTCCACACGCTGTTCAAGGACAGTCGGGCGTGTAAGGAGATGCAAGGGTTGGAAAAACTGACGTTATAAGGAACGCTACACCCCGACCCCTCCCCGCCCCATCTTACAGTACATCTCAACCTCCACCAACAGCATATAAAGTGGACACTGTTACAACCCTCTCAACATCATCCCCATCATGGCAGCACCTACAGATTGTGTGATGAATTTCTGAAGGCATGTTATATATGACCATTTCTTGGAAACGTCTCTTGGAAAAATGTAGTTGCAGTTTGTCAGGACTAAAGACTGTTTGGCTAATATGACATGGTGAACAAGTCCTGTGGTTAAAGAATGCCTGCTGCTTAGAACATTGTGTTGTATGCTGACTGTTTCTTGCCCGTAGAGTTGCTATACTGTTCCCTTATAATATTCAAGTATTATTTTTTAAATCGTTTAATGAAATAGGTAAATATCTCATCATTGATGACTGTGGTCCACCTGAGTGACAAGTAACCCGTCCTGGACAGAGGTTTCTTCACGGCCTGTTGTGGGAACCCCATGGTGTAGCATTAAGAGAAAGAATACAGGGAGTGGTACAAATGAGCAGTCGTCCTGCCCCCTTTTACTCATTTTGGATGCTTAAATTACTAAATTGTGATTTTAATGCTAATCTGTATGATTCTATGGTCTGAGTGAGTCTCCAGTACTACATGAATGGTAAACTTAAAAACTCTACTTCTCTTAGCTTAATAATATTTTCTTTTACTGTGTACGATTGGTAAAAATGAAAATCGTGATTTGCCTCTCAGCTTGTGTGCTGTGCATATCAAAATATAAGTATAGTAAAACATACAACATTTGACAACTCTATGTATGAGGTGAGCTGGTCAGATACAGTATCGTAATCATTAGAATTGTTGCTTAATTGATCCTAAATAATTACTGACATTCAGAATCAACTTGATCTTTTCATAGAAGTCTGCAAGCCACCTTCCTTTCTTCACATCATGTCCCAAGACAACACCTGCTGGCAGCCTCCTGCAATCGCTGCAAGTAAGCGCTCTTCCAAAATACAGTTATTATATAATATATACAGTATAATGCATATAATAGTTATTATGCAGCATTTTTTCGCAGGTCTGTGAAGTTTTACTGCTTTTTGCCAACATTCCAAATCTTACACTCGCTAATATTTTTGAGGGCGAACTTCTGCAGAATAAGCAGATAAGGCAGTGAATGATTCGACAATGCTGTATATACAGTATGCTATTTTGTGGATATTATAAAATGAAAAATAGCTCCACATTGAATACATTGTACATCCGACAATCTTGCGCACATCGATGGTATGACAGTGACGTTTCTATTAGTGTCTGGGAGGCGCAAAATAGACAAGGAAACGTATACTGTACGAAAGAGGAGACGGGACTCACATTTTCTTAGAAACGAAACTAAGTGTCATCAAAGTCGGAAGGAGTCGATACGTTTAGTCATAGAATCACAGATCATTCTGGAAGCAGAAAGATACTGGAAAACCACAACAGTAAGTACATGCTTCGTGTTATTGTCGCGGATCGTATTAAAGGTTTTAAGACCTCTGATTATTACGAATCGAATGCATGCCTATGTTACTTTAGTGGTAGATTATGTCATAATATTGTGATCCAACCTTTATATTGGTACCCATTATTAGAATATTAGCCAACAGTCTTTCAGTCGAATCATTCACTACATTATCTGCTTATACTGCAGAAGTTCGCCCTCAAAAATATTAGCGAGTGTAAGATTTGGAATGTTGGTTTTAGAATCAGTAATAAATTGTATTTCGCGAAAGTAAAGATGTCTGTCAAATGCCGTTTAAGACATTGACTCTTTAGGGGTAAATATTATACAAATTGCTACTATTGTAGATCTACTTAGGCGCAGTGAATGATGCGTCGCTCACGCTAAACTATAAGGCCTTTCTCTGCACTTTCTAATGTAAGCCTTTATTCAGGTTTGGTCGCAGAGACCGGGCATCTATATTGGGAACCGTGGGGATCTACAGTTAAGATTACAGTTCATATTACTCGATTTAACTGAAGTAAGCGAAGCTTTCCCATGAGGTGGGAGAAGCTCGGTTAATTATGATTTTGATCAGAATTTTTTTTACGGGGGAAACATGATTATTGGAGGGGTTGTATTAGCTGGTTTTGATTTATTGGAGGGGGGGGACAACCCCTCATCCTCCCCGTAATTTACACCCACGCCCTTTCCTATAAAATCTATGAGCACAGTGAAATGTAAGCGATGCTGTGTATTATGGTCTGATTGCATTTAATTTTTCAAAGGTTCTTAATCTTCTATTCTCTGCCACATTTTGTTTTACAGGCAGCTACTTGGTGAAACACTGTGAATTGTTTAATGCACCCTTTTCCAAGAAGCACAATAAGAAAATAGTATAGTAAACACACAAATATATAGATGGGCGAAAATACTGCCAGCGGAGAAAAATTGGGAAAGCAAGTATGTGTCTTTTTAAATAGCAAAGGAGAAGGAGCCAAGGAGCCTGCACTGGCAATCGCCAAAGGTCTGGGTCTGAAAACAGCCAAAGACATAAACCCGACTCTCTATGACCTGCTGCAGAGAGGGCAGCTGCACAAGACAGACGGGAAACCACCACTCTGGTCCCTGACAGCAGATCCAGATGGGGCAAACTTACTTCAATCTGGCTCCCCTGTCCCCCCGAGACAGCAGACCTGCCTGAAAGGATCAGAGAGCTCCATGTCCATGTCCAAGTCTACGTCTATGTCCATGTCCATGTCCATGTCCAAGTCTACGTCCATGTCCATTTCTGAGGACCATGACTCTGTGCCAAAACAGTTAGAGCTAAAGATTAAAGAGATACTCAGGTCACAAGGGGGCGACAGGTGGCTGCACATCCAGAACATCATGAAGATGCTGAAGCAACCAAAGGGAAACATTAACTGTCTCCTGTATGCAATGAAAGGCAGGGGTGAACTGGAACAAAATGGGAAGCAGTGGAGGTGTAAAGATGGAGGTGATACTCCTGGACACAACTTGAGGTATGATGAGAGTTTATAAAGTTAAGAGTTTGGCAAACATGCCTGTGACCCGCTGAGATGAACTTAGATCCAATCTTAAATACCTAGGCTAATGCACATCAGACCTTTAATGCTTTTGATGGACACGGGGTGCCTACTGCTTGGTGAAAGGCATTTATGTCATCAAAACCAAAGGAAGATGCAGAGAATCTGGGTCAAATTACATCACTTATTGTTTTCTAATTATGTATAATTATATGGTGTGTGTACAATTTGAGGACTCTGTTAATGCACGTCTTGTTTTAATGCATCACTAGGAAACAAATCATGTAAATCTTTATTTTCAGGTCTTTAGAGGAGTTCTCAGACATAGAGAAGCTTGGTCGGGGAGGTTTTGGTTCGGTCTACAAAGTTAAGCACAGAGTAGATGGTAAATGGTACGCGGTAAAGATAACCAAGTACAAAGGGTAAGTAGTTATTTTTAAAATATTTTAAAATTCTGTTGAACAACCAATGATAATCTGAAAATGTGACTAATTCACGGTCGGCAAAGACTTTTAACTCTCTTTGGGTCAAATTAAGTCGTGTCACTATGTCATTAGTTGTGCCAGTTCTGCCTGCTTTAGTTACCCAGATGTCTGAAGGAATTCCTTTTCTCTCAGAGACCATGAAAAACGTGAAGTGGCGGCACTGGCCAGTCTGGATCATCCAAACATTGTGCGTTACTACACATCATGGATTGGCCCCCATTACCGGCACGACAAATCAAACAACAAGGGTTCAAGGTAAAACTATTTTACTTCAGTGTTCAATTCCGCTTTAAGATGTAGCCCTACAAACTAGACTTTCCGTTCTAGATTATTAATTTTCATTCCAATCCACAGAGACCCAGAACTGTGTTTAGTTCCATATCCATCCTGCAGTGAAAGCCAGGAAGGTTCTGAAAGCGTGATATTTGAGAGGGAAATAGATTCATTCTCCATTGATAGTAAAGCTGATAAAGAGAAGGAACGTGAGGAAGTGGAATCGGGGCTGGCAGACATCTGCATCACCTCTAGGTAAGATATAGTTATATCTTCATTCATATCCCCATTAGTGATTTGATGGTGACACCCATAAAGGCATGACCTCAGATACCTTCCACACTTACAGTGACCCTCCCTCTGGCAGCAATGACACATCTGGACAACAAGACAATATGTCCCTCTACATTAAGATGGAGCTCTGCACAGGGGGCTCGCTGAATGACTGGTTTAGAAAAGGAGGAGCTGAACGGACCAAAGAAGAAGCTACGAAGGTGTTTCAGAAAATAGTCCAGACGGTGGAGTACATTCACTCCAAAAATCTTATTCACAGGGATCTGAAGGTACATGCCAAGATATACGCGTCCACATCATCTCCTTCCACTGGATGTAGTCAGTCTCCCAATCGCAGTTATCAAATTGTATCATTACCAGGCCTTTTAGGCATCTCAGGATTTTACATCCAAGGTCTTCATGTCGGCCTACGAAGGAAAACATGGCCTGTAACCATGTTACTTTCAGACAAACTGATCTGACTACTTCCTTATTGTACTTCATGTTAAAAGTTTGAGCAAACTGTTGGATGTTTGTATCTTTTTGTGCTTTCCCAATTCCAGCCAGACAACATACTCTTTGGTCAAGATAACATTGTGAAGATAGGAGATTTTGGCCTTGCAACAATGACATGTGATCAATCTGGAAAACCTATTGAGAGAACAAGGGGAAGAGGCACCAAAACTTACATGAGCCCTGAACAGGTAATAAATGCAACATCATCCTATTCCTTCAGCTCCCTGTTGGGGTCACCAGTGTACTCCCATGTGATGGCGACCTAAAAATGTCATGATCAGAGCGTGTAGTTCCCATGCAGTGTCCTGTTATTCTGATGAACTTCCAAAGGTGCTGCAGGTCTCATTTTTAAATCCATGTTGACAGGAAAAACAATCTAAGTATGATGAAAAAACAGATATCTATCCCCTGGGACTGATTTTCTTTGAGCTTGTTTGGAAGATGAAGACAGTAGCAGAAAGAGCAGAGGCAAGTGTATAGTTCTTTGGCAAGTATATTAAAATTATTGGTTTTCTGTAAAATAAAAGTATAAGATTTGTTTTCTAAATGCCACATCACCGTCAATACCATAGATCTGGGACAACCTGCGGAAAGGAATATTCCCGGATGGGTTCACTGAGGAGTTCATGTCCGAGGTGTGTGATGACGACTTTCATAAACTAGCTTCCTGATTCACTTTCCTGAAAATGCAAAACCAGTGTCCAGTTAAAGGTTTAATTAATGGTGATTTTAGTTTTTCAGTTCTCTTTGAGTAGTCTTAATTTTCAATACACCACACATAAATTCTAAATGATTTGAGTCCCCTCCCCCGATTCACTGTGCCTTGCAGAGTTCAGATATATACAGTACCAGGTAAAAAGTTTGGACACATCTACCCATAGAAAGGTTTATTTGTACTTAGAATAATTCCAAAGACGTAAAAACTATTAAATAACAAATATGGAATCATGCACTGACCAAAAAAGCATTAAATAAAAAACATATGCTGTATATAGTTGGGGGGGGGGCAGCTCTGTGGGTTGTGACTCAGAAGGTTGCCGGTTCAGATCCCTGGGTCAGCAGAGTGATCTCACCATTGGGCCCTTGACCCCAATTGCTGCTCCAGGGACTGGCTGATCCTTTAAGCCAGTTTCATGAGGTGGCCCTTGGGATGCTTTTCCACCTATCCTGAAGGAGGTCCCACATATGCTGAGCAGTCATTGGCCGCTTTTCCTTCACTGTCTGGTCAAACTGCTCCAAAACCATCTCTACTGTGTTTCAGTCAAGTGGCCAGGTCATGTGATGTGACACTATCACTCTCCTCTGTAGGCGGCTTGGTGTGTCCAAACCTTTGACTGGTGCTGTACACTTTTGTTTATTGCAGGGTTCAGTCATCAAACTCATGCTGTCTGAGAGCCCTGAGAAGAGACCTCCCGCCTCCACCATCACGATGCTCCTTAACAGCCCACAACAGACCCAACGCCTACAGAAAGACAAAAACAGAACAGCCTGATTTGGGCATCGCTGGAGTTTCCACTACTACTGAAGACCAAATGATGTTTATGTTTTTGGTTTTGGAAAGTTATTCTGAGAAACTCTACTGTTCACACTTGAATATGCAGCTCTGGAAAGTATTAAGAGACCACAGCAAAATTTTTAGTTTCACTCATTTCATAATTTATGGGTATGTGTCTGTGTAAAATATACATTTTTTGTAAACTCCAGCCTGGCTCTTCCCTGCTTCTCGTTGATGAAGGGCTTCTTCCTCGCTTTATGGGTCTTCAATCCTGCTTCTAGGAACCTGAGACAAACTTGTCCTAGCAGTGCACTTCACACCACTTAATTTTTTGAAGGTTGCTTGGTGCCATTCCCCGATTCATGGGAAACTGTCGGATAAGTTGACAGTCATCTCTGGCATTAGAAAGTCACTTCTGCGCTTTACCTGGCTGGTTTCTGGTCCTTCCCAGTGTCTCCTGCTTCACCTTGTTCTTGTGTACTGCTGTCTTAGAAACTTTAAGCCTGGAAGCAGCCTGTCTCGCAGTGTAGCCTCTGCCAGCAGAACCAGGGTTTAAAAATGCAGATTTTTACAAAATATATAGAGTGGTCTCTTAATTTTTTTCCATAGCTGTATAGGTACAAAGGGACCTTTTTAGAAATTTGACTTTACATGTCATGTTGTTGGGCCCTGTCTTTGGGTAAAGACAGCTGTTAGTTCCAATCCTAAATGCAGCATTTGTACTGGGCCTGTGATTGTTTGGATCAGGTGTGCTGGGAGGGAGCAAAATTTGGACTGTCTGGGGTCCCCAAAGATCGAGCTAAGAATCAGTGATGTAACACTTGGTCTTATGCCTGTTTGGCTCCTATAATGTATCCTTGTAACAAACTGTCCCATGTGGATGTTGCTTTGGACATTCAACATGCCTTCAGATACCTGTAATTAGCACTGATGTGTTATTTTACACAAGTGGCTCTATCAACCAACTGTTTGTACTGTGATTTAATTCAGCTTAAACATCACCGGTACTGTATAGAACTGTACTGACAGCAACATTTTGTTACTTGTAGAAATTATCTTCATGTGTTAAAAATTACGAAGAAAAAAAAAATGCATCTCAGATTTTTAGGTATGTTTTCTATAAAGATTTTCTATTTCAAATTCCCTGGATGTGTGAGTGAGTAATTACAGCTGGAGTGTGGAATTATACCTAAGATTATATTCCCGCAGTTAGGTTAATATGTGTATCTAAACTGCCCATAGACTGCCAGTGTGTGCCCGCCTTGTGCCATCTGCTTCCTTGGATTGGCTCCAGGCTTATGACCCTGTACCAGTAATGGGTGGATGGGTGTTTTTAAACTGAATTCAGTGGTTATAACAGTACTGTATATAGCCTTAAGATCGGTGAAGCAGAATTTGCTTCAATGGATAACTGAAAGATTGCTGCTTCATGATTGCTTCATTATTCTTCAAAACATTTTCTCTTAATAGGGTTACCAGTAAAAGAGAGATCAGCTCCCTTTCACGAAGCTGCAAAATCTCTTGGGACATCTCAGCTTCACGATCACGCTGAAACTCACAGCCAAGAACTCAAATATTCAGAAACGCACCTCTTAAACCAGGGCTCTTTAAATCTGGACCTCGATTCCAAATCCAGGTCTTGTTTTCAGTTCTCCCAGGTTGTTAGTTTAATAAACACTGATTCTGATTGGCCACTGAGGCTTCACACCTTGGATCACAGGTAAAGGAGGGTACTCAGTACTCAGACCTACTGTAGAGGACTGTGATTTGAATAGCCCTGTCAAACTATGAACACCGAGTTTATTTGCACCTTATTAACTAGGATAACACAAGGTCTAATCCATCCAAGACTGGCCTACAATCATACAAAACTATTATTAAAATGTGTCTGTATAATTAATATATACGTAAACTGAATACGCATCTTTGTGGGTCGATCGACGCGACCCACATTGCCTCCTGCAGCCAAAGGTTTAACGATACGTCACCGTGAAGGGGGTATTTAGGCCTGACACGCTGCTTTGGGGGACTTGCCGCCTCTGCCAAGACATCTGGAGGTGAGGAGCGGAAGGTCAATAGGTGAGCCGCCATTCAGCATGCCTTCAGCGAGAAGCGCCGAGCGGTCGAAGCCTTTCAAGCAGCGGAAAAGCTTCGGTAAGGATTTCGGAGTAAAACACTCCCGTCCGATAGAAATTTTCATATCCACACTGACGCATTACCAGTTTCAAGCAAATGCGTTTTATGTGATTTTTTTTTTTCTGCTCAATTGCAAATAGCCGCACGGAAGCACGAGGTGGCCGGAATCCGGGCGAAATTTCCCACCAAGATCCCAGTAAGGCGAAACCTCCCCGGACGCTCAGACTCCGCCTGTTTATTCTTAATCGCTAACATGTCCCATGTTACAGGTAATCCTTGAAAGATATCAAAAAGAAAAGCACCTACCGTCACTAGACAAGACGAAATTTCTGGTCCCAGAAGAACTGACATTAAGCCAGTTCATTACCGTCATAAGGTAGGGACTTGGTGCATGGAACTCTGCTCCATCCTTAGCACAGGTGACGCCAATTTAAAAACCTGTTTGTTAGCCCTGACTGGATTTTTTTTCTTCTCAAATTTATTTATACGATTTAAAAAAAAAAAGAGAGAAAAAACACGCATCAGTAAAATCATTAGTGCATCTTGGGGCTTGCGGACACGAATGACCTAAGGACCACACCTGAGTTGGCGAAAAAACAAAGTTTTATGCTCTCGCGTGACTGATTTGCTCCGTTTTGCAGAAACCGGCTGCATCTTGTACCAAGACAAGCGTTTTATCTGCTGATTAACAATGGCGGGATGTCTAGCATGTCCCTCACCATGGTGGAGATCTACAAGGACCACAAGGATGAGGATGGGTTCCTCTACATGACGTATGCTTCTCAGGAGATGTTTGGCTGTCCCGGGGCACCTTGCCCACGGGGGGCGGTTACACGATGACCGGACTACCGCCGATGAATGGTGCCTTCCTTTTAAAGCATGCCTGTACGTTTGGCAGGTCCAAGAGATGGCGTATTTGCATGTTATACAACGACGAATTTTACGGTGTAAGCTATCACATTTTAAAAATGTAAAAATACAGAGGAATAAATTTGTAACTTTTTAAGTGTTGTTGCCTTTTCCATGAAAGCACGCGCATGCTAGCACCACATGCTGATTTGACTGTATATAGGATGGGTACTCGACCAGCAAACCCTAGAAACAAGTGGTCTAAACGACCATTTAGCTTGAACAACTAATCGATCAGTAAAAGAGAGCGTTCTGAGCCGAGTTAGGCTACCTAGTTCATTGCATACAGAAAGGGGACAAGCCAATGCTAATGAGCTTTTGAGTTGGGTAGCGTTAGTGATTAAAAGGAGTGTGCCAAGTATGAGTACAAAAGGGTTCTTCTCATGATTCCCTAACTTTAGATGACCTGGGATCCCGACTTGTGCACGTGTCTGTGATAACACGGCTGTTAAGGGGGGGATTTGCTAAGTTTCACGCCGCAGCCATGTGTTCCTCCAGTCAACAGCAGATGTCGCTGCAGACCAACAAGAACGATAGAAGCCCAGCTCTCTAATCCCATTTCTGTTCCCTTAGTCTATTCACTCAAGCTTAGGATATTTGTAGATTTTATTTCGGCGGTGAGGCTGTTTTTATTCCCATGTAAAATATTATTAATCATTAAAATCCACTTTAAGTTGAACGCAACCTAGTAAATGATCAAAAAGTTTAAAGAAGTTTTGACTTTTGTGATCCATGAAGAGATTTTAGGTTGTTGCTCATAACAATGGTCGCCAGTCGGAGCTGTTGAGCTACTTCTCAGGTCTCAGGAAGTGACTACAGTCAAGCTGTTTGCCCAACTGCGGAGAGGGGCCTGTTCACCAGTAACACTGCATGACATTTACTCACTGTTGCAAAGGATGGAATGTATTTACAAGGATCTAAAAAATAGCAATACTGGAAGGTTGCTTTGGGATTTGAACTCTTGCGATGGAACAGCATGCAGTCCCTTAAATCGGCAGCTCAGGGTGAAGTCTATGGAAAGAGGTCTTCAAAAAGACTCTCTGAGACAGGGAGCACGTCCTTTGCAAGACCTCTAGGGGGTGGCAGAGAGCTCACACTAGACCATTCACCGGGACAGCAGATGGAGATGCACGTATCTCCTGTGACATTAATGACCCTGGACCTTACCTGCTGTATTAGACCCTTTCCTGTCCTTTCTGGCCTGGCAGGAAGGAAGGAAATGCGATTTATTGAAATTGCACTCCCATCATGATAGTCAGCAGGTGGATGGAGGGTCTGGGTTGGGGGTTGGCACCGGTTGGTGTTGGGGTTTGCTCTCACTTGCAGGGGACGTGCGATTTGACACGACGTGTCAAAGTGAGATCTTCACATGACCCTCTCTATGTGCACACACACACACACACACACACACCTGCAACAGCCTGTCCATTATACCCCATCAAACATTCACACTTACCCAATCAGAAGTAAATGTCCCCGCCTCCCCATTTGTCTGTGTTAACTGGGCATGTAGTGCAGTCAATGTGTGGGGCAAAGCTGGTGAGCCCCTGAGAAATGACAGCATATAAACATCCCCCCCCCCCCCCAAAGGAAATGGTTCACCGCAGATCCGCCTTGCAGTATAAATCTCAGTGGCTGCAGACGTTTCTAAAGGGGTGTTTTGCTTTATGTTTTCATTTCAGGACTCAACAGGCTGCCTTATCCTTCGCTTTTTACAGCTGTCACGAATCCGCCCCCCCGCCCCTGGGACAAAGCGCTCAAATTGGGAACACTTTCAAAGCAATATGTTGCCGGCGTTGTTTTTATAGTTGTTTTGTTTTGCTGGACGAGCAGCAGGCCGGATGAGGTCCCAGCTGGGATGTGTGTCCCAAATCCCTGTGTCTGTGTTCCCTCCGTTTGAGACGGCTTCTCTTCCTGGAAGACCCTACCGGCCCGGAGAGAGGGGAACGTGCAGGAGACAGAGTGTGTGATGAAGGAATGTGACAGAGAAGGCACAGGGGCCCACAGCTCCTCTGATTGGCTCGCAAACGGCAAAACACGGTCATGACTTACATCTTCCAGCCATTGCCCTGAATATAATTAGACAGGCTGCAGATTTGCCAAGGAGTATCATTCACAGCCGAATTCGGCACAGTCCGCGAAGGACGTACACTGCACCGCGCTCTCATCCCTCTTCTCAGACACGCACGCTCCGCACTCCATGCTTGGTAGACACTCACCCCCTTCCTTGATAAAAAATAAGGCGGCACACGACTAATTTTTCCACCCCATCACCTGAGGAGCAGCTGAAATCGATCGAGCCGCATTCGGAACTTGCGTTAATTGAGTCCTCCCCTGCTCCAGTTAATTCATCATTAATATTTATACACTTTAATTAACTTTAAAAACTCTCAGCGTAGTGCATGCCCTTCCTAACAAAACTGGGTCCAACCAGTAATGTATAAGGGGGAAATCACCACAGTGCAGAGGGGTGGAGGGGCGTAGCGGACGACACAAGCGGTGTTTAAAGCATCTGTTCATCCTTACGAATCTTTAAACATTTCTTATTATGAGTTATGTTTGTCATAAAGGCTTAACTGGTCAAATAGGACATAAAAGCCCCTCACTGGGAACCCCTTGGCCCAGGGGCATTTGTTTTGGACCCAATCTGATGTAACCTTGTGAGTGAGAAGCTTCTGTTCCACTTGGCAATGATGGATGCCTCTGTGACCAACGTTCTTCCCTTGGCAGGCAGGTTTAACCAGGCCCCAGAGTCTGGTGAATTCACCTCAATGCTGCGGGGGGGGGGGAGGTGTTCGACAAGAACCTAACCTTTTCCTTTCCAGGCTGCAGGCCCAGAGATGTGATCATCGTTGTGCTGGCTGCCCTACCCCCCTGCCACCCCCTCCCTATCCCCCCCCCCCACATGCTTCAGCCTAAGGGCTAAATTATTTCCTTGCCTTAAGGGGAGACGTTCCGCATGAGGTAACGTCTCAGACATGTGCCACCTACAGCATTCGCGCAGAGCCGGGGAGAGCGGCAGACCCGAGCCAACGAGCCCAGAGCGGATAACGATTCTGGCCGAGGCCGGCAGGCTTGTAAACACGGCTGTGAAAAATCTGCAGGAATATGAATGAGGACCCTGTTCCTTCACTCCCTCTTCCTCGCGGGCAAATAAGCTTTCCTGCTCCATGAGATTGAATGAACAGCAACATCATTTGTACCCATCCAAACTGCCTACATGACCAAATCATGGTGGGTTTTTTCCCCTCAGGTGACTGTCAACAGGTTCGCTCTCGCTGCGGTGCCTGGAACTGTATTCTGCACACATGCATACTCAGTAGCAAATTGATTTGTGCAATTGTATATTCCATGCCATCCAACTCTCTTTCACATAGAGTAATGAATGTTTCTGCAGTGTCCGAAAGACTTGTGCACCTCATTTGTTCTCATTTTCAAGGTCTGGGGTTTGTGCTGTGTATTAATTTTAAATTCCTGGGTATCCTTCTACTTGTCCATCCAGTAAAGGATGTTTCTGTAGGGTGATAAGATGTCTGGCTTCACTGTGTAAGCGAATAAACTTTAAGTTTATTTTTCGCCTGATGAATTGGGAACTAGGGACAGTAGCTCTATGTCATTTTCAGTGAGTTGCAGAAATCATGTCTAAGGTCTCTCTGCTGCCTGCAACTGCTAATGTACTAGTAGTCTTGCTATACTGCCATTATACTGCCAATCACCTGACAGCTTCCAATCACCTGACACCCTCCAATCACCTGACAGCTTCCAATCACCTGACACCCTCCAATCACCTGACAGCTTCCAATCACCTGACACCCTCCAATCACCTGACAGCTTCCAATCACCTGACACCCTCCAATCACCTGACAGCTTCCAGTCACCTGACATCTTCCAGTCACCTGACAGCCCCCTTATATTCCACTGCTCTAATCACCTGACAATCTCCTGCAACAAACAAACCCCTATCTTAAATCTCACCAAAGAACTGCTACTCCAGGTATCATCTGAGTATTAGTCAGCAAGAAATCTGCTACCTTGTGGAGCTGGGGAGTTCAGTCAGGCACTGGGGGCTACGGCTTTGTGTTGGGGGACACCGACTGTGATCAAAAGCAGTGTTGGCCCTTTGTAGAAGAGGGCGCCCCAGCTGCACACATACTGCGTGGTTTGGCCACTTCTCGTCACGTCTCCACGTCCTGACACCTCCACGTCCTAGCAGAAGTGTCACAGAACATACTAGAAAATGGAGGAACCACTTTCAAACATCGCTGGATACCCGTGGTGATCATAACATCTGTTACCAGTGTGAAGTCTGCGTCCAGTTGTACTGGATTTTTCTGGCCGATCGGGCCTATCTGGGCTCACTCCCAGTAAATAGGCCTTTGGAAGGGAATCAGGTGGTGTCATGTTGCCCTACCCTCCCCTCCCCCCCCCCCGAGATTTCCATCCAGACCACATCATTTCCTCACGCTCTGCGTGAGTATTTTCCTGCTCCTCAGTCATCTCCGCCTCAATGAGGAGTATCCAGTAACACCCTGGGGGGGGGCTTGCTCAGGGGGCCTAAAAGGGGAAGATGTGTGGCTTGGTAGGTTTGGCCTCTGCGGCCGGGATCAGAAGGTCATCAGTTCGGATCCCATGCTCGGCAGAATAGCCCCATCTGTGCTGGGCCCTTGACCAAGGTCCTTAACCCACTGAGAAATGCTCGGGGGGTGCTGGATGGATGACTGACCCCCCTCACTTAGTACTCAAGCTTCACTCTCACCTCTACATGTGTGGGTATATCTTTGAGAAAAGAGGGGACAATGAAGTTTGCAAAAAATAACATACTGCAATATACCTGTACTTACAAATGGCAAATAAAACCATTTCAGAGCAAATATCTGAGGCCCCGCCTACTTCTGGACAGACAAGGCAGGAGCACAAAAGCGGTGAATATTAATGTACATTTCAGATATCACTGGAGCTGACTGGGGATTATCCCGAATACCACACACTGTCTCGCGAGGACGCATCCGCATATTGAAGTTTTCGCCTCTCCAGAAGCTTTTCAGAACAAATCTTGTGAGAATCTCTTTTGTAAAAAATGTGATTTCAGTCTTTTTT